GAGGGCTTCGGCTTCCTCGCTATGGTACAGAACTGAGTTTACAGATGCTGCCTCACGCCAGCGCTAGCAGCCAGTCAGCTCCTTAGTGCATGCCCCTAGCATCTTGTTCATCTTGTGGTCACCTTTTGCTTCGGTGCAACTACGCCACCTGCTGAGCACAGGTTGGGTGCAGTTGCACGTATGAACTGTCTCAGCCTCGAACGGCGTACCGAACGGCGTACCCATGGTACTCATCTTCCACTGGCACCTTTGCAGACGAACCCTTACTCGAAGCAGTGGGACAGCTATGACTGGAAGCATGCACCAGTCTTCGACATGCATGCCCGGAAAAACTCCACGCTGAAGGAGGACCAGAGGTGCTAAGCTTGCTACCGCGGTTATCCAGATCTGCCCTCGCGGAATGAGCCTGTCGCCACAAGTACCATTCAGACCGTGCTTTGGCCGACCACAGCTGCCCGAACTGAGTGGCTTGCGGGAAGCTCTTGGGAAAGCAGTTGGCATCCCACTGAAGAACTTGCTGAGGACCCCTGACCTTTTCGCTGTCCTGGCGATGCATTTTACTGCACTTCACTCCGTGCATCTCTGGAAGACATGATAAGACATGCAGCAAGTCGCAGCTTGACCCTTGACCGAAAGTGCCGGGACAGCAGTCCAGAGCAGTGGCTTTGATTTTAGGCCTCCGCAGGCTCCGCCATTTCGGCGTTGGACTCGATCAGCTTCAAGGCCGCCTCGGCAGCCCTCTTTACACGTGGGTCCGGATCGGATCTCGCAACGCGCCGGAGGAGGAGCTGCACCCCACCGGTCGCCTTGGCCCCACACCTTCCAAGAGCCTCTGCAACTGCTCGGCGGACGTTCCACTCATCGTCCGCCAAGGCCATACTTAGGCGATGCACCACCTCGGTCATGTCGGATATGGCCTTGCTTTTGGCCAGCTTTCCCAATGTCTGCGCAGCTGCCCCGCGGGCGTCCTCTTCTTCGTCTTCCAAGACCAAGAGAAGGGCCTCCAGGGCAGATGCCGAGGCCGCGCCGATGTTGCCCAGAGCCTCGGCCGCACCCCAGCGAACCCCGCCGTCATCGTCCTCAAGGAGAGCTGAGAGGCAGGGAGACTTGTTGAGAGGGATTGTGAGGTGCTTCCGTCTGAGATACTGCTTTAAGATGTCTTAGAAGATGCCTCAACTGATGCGTCAGAACAGCCTGAACACTCCTTCCTTCCGTTCTCCGGGTCCTCCAGAAGCTGGCTCAGAACCTCCACGGCCGTGTCATCGCACACGTGCCCGACAGCCCGCGCTGCGGCGCAGCGCACGTCGGGGTCGTCATCATCGAGGCAACGCAGCAAGTCGGCGGAGGCCGCACCGGCCTCCTTTCCGAGCTTCGCCAGCTCATCCGCGGCCTTCCACCGGTCTCGTGGCTTAGAACTGCTCAGCTGCTGCACCTGAAGGGAGCACCGAGACTCTGCAAAACGGACACGGACCACATAGGACTCATCGGCAATCCCTGGAGCTTCCCCGGAGCTTCCCTCTGAGCGCGGCACCAGGGCAGTTACATCTGCGTCCCGAGTTGAAGGCACCATGATTGCCGGAGATTGTGGGGCTTGAGCCCAGCTGCCACTGTCATCAGCCATGGATCCGTCTTGGACATGCTTCGACCCATGGAGAATTTTTCAGATGACGTTCGAGGCTTCCCGGCCTTCAACAGGTCCTTGACGGCTTGAGAGGAAATCTCCACCCGCGCCTAGGCGAAGGCGAAAAAAAGTAGCCGACATCAATACCATTCGCCCTTGGGGGAGTTTGGCCGCTACAGCACGGACTTTTTGAGATCACTGCTAGCTCTTGGGCACCCATGACCTGCAGCAAGGACTTCACAGGGATACAGGGATTTGGAGATGAAGTATCACAAGGCTGCATCCTCTGCGCGTGCCTTCTGATTCTGAACGAAGAGGAAAAGTTTCTCTTCGTCGTCGTCCTGCACAGGGCTGATCAGCAACATCGTGAGATGGGGGGGGCAGCTGCGACAGCTATGTGGTACAGAGGAAATCCGTAAACTAGCACACAAGCACGTCATGCCGTGGCTCTTCTTGATTTCTTGCTGTGGGCGATTCGAGCGCACTGCAGGATCAGCTGCTTCGGTCTACGCTGACCAGCTATTTCTTCTGCACATGCGCACATGCTCGCATGTGCGATCGCACATCTCCGTGCTTTGCAAGATCTTTAAACCTTAATCTGTACAATGCTGCGAGCTTCAGCTGCTTGGCTTCAGAGACAGGCCAACGAGCTTGACCTGTGCCCAGGGTGCTCTACAAGGAGAACAGTGAATCCATGAAATCGCGACGAACTGTTGCTTTGAACTTGAGTCTTCAATTGGGGCATCAGTACTAGGGATAGCTAGGGGGAAAAGGTCTTGGACGGCTTGCGGTTAATGGCTCAAAGTGGTCCTGCTTCAGTGGCAGCTTCAAGGCGTTGGCCAGCTGCTGGCGTCGCGCAAGCACTTTGGCGTCCTCCTACAGCACAACCCGACCAGAGTGTTCCACAAACTGCTTTTTTAGAGTCTTTTGTACCAGAGCCTACACTGCGAAGATGGAGAGAAAGGCAGAGATGCTGCCATAACACCCGTCACACTCTCTTCTTCTCAGCGAACAGATTGGTCCTGCGCCTTCGCCGAAAGTTCTCGAACACTGGTGTCATAAAGCAAGCCACCTCCCAGTATTGAGCTGAAGGCATTGGATAAGCTGAAGCGGAAAGTGACAAGTTTGCAGGCGACGCTGTAACAGAACAGCGCCCCGGACACAGCTCCGAAATTGCGAATGGCACGCTCTGAGACTGCTCGGTGAGTTCGGTGGTATTGAAAGAAAGCACAGACAGCATGACTGCATTGCCAGCACCTATCACCGAGGCAGCGCCATCTGACTGCAAGAAGACCAGCGAAGGCTTCTCCTCTGGAATCGAGCCGACATGCCCCCGGCAGAAGCCCCAAAAAACCCAAGAAGTTTCTGTACCCGAGATGCAAAGGCACAACCAGCCTCGAGCGCAGGCTTCGCCGCAACCACGGAGGCTTTTGGCATGGCGTGTAACTCTGAGGGGCTACTCTTGATTCTAGATCGCTGCACTCGGATGCACTGGCGACAACACCTGGGTCATTGTAAACCTGGCAGCTCCTCATGATGAAAGCGACATTTTGAGCAGAACTGAAAGCCGGCGGCCGCGCTGCATGCTGCGCACCCCTCTGTTCGCCACAGGAATACGCTGGTATTCCGTCCTCATCAAAGTTGAGCTGCATGGACTCCTTCAGAATGCAGTCGCTCCCGGCATTGTTGTGCACCTGGGTACGAAGCAGACTCACCGAGCAGAGCTGGAGTATGACACAGCGCCCTACCCGTGTGCGCATCGTTTCGTTGTAGCCCATGAAGGCCTCGATGAAGACCTGGCACTCAACAAGTGATGCTGCACCTTTAGGATTTCCGTTTCGAGCTCTGAGGCGGCTACATGGTTGGCGTGGAAAAGGTCGGAAGACGTCAAGTCTTCCACTTTCCAGATCAGCAACTGGCAGGGGCACAGAGGGTCAGCCTGCGTAACATGTAAATCTCTGCAGCCTTTTAATTCTTGCCTACCGCAGAACATCAAGAAGGCCTCGATAGGCCTAAAGCGAGCTGTGCTCCAGCAGTTCAAGCAGTCCTTCGCCTTGGGACGACGCCGATTCAGGTGGAGGTCAGGGGGTACGAGATGACAGCGAGAGGGGATGAAGTTTGCAGCTGACCCCTCTTTGCAATAGCCTCTCATGCCCTTGCTCGCAGGAGACCCGATCTGCGTTTGGGACCCTCGTGGGGCTCTTGCTCTGGTTCTTGATTGCTCTGTCTCTTCAGTTGCAAGAGGGCTCACGGGTAAACCCCTCCACCCAACCCCACAACCTAACCTACAAGCCCTAGACCCCTGAACCTTCCAATTCCAGCGCAGCCACAACCGACCTTTCAAGACCAACAACCCCACAACTCGCAGCACCGCTCCACCTTGCAGTTGAAGATCTGCTTGTGATCAAGACCCAGTATGAGAGCGATTCTCTCCTTGAAAGCAACCTGCGGCAGGGCAAAAGCCTAGAGAAGCGCCTCTTTAGTGCTCGTAACAGTGGCTCATCTCAGCAAAGCGCTGGCAAGGGGGCACTTCCTTTTTTTCCTTTAGCCGGCAGCTTTCATCAGCTGCTTGCCAGTAGCAGTCTTCTCATGTTGGGTCAGAGCTCGATGCAGCCTCGGTGGTTGGGCTCTTTCAGCGTGGGCGTCGGTACCTTCTTGTCCTCAGTCATGCAATGAGCTGGACAACCTGAAACTGTCCATTTTGCTTTGTCTTCCTTCCAAGTTGTCATGCTTGACCCTTTCATGGAAGGGCGTTCCCTACGCTTCTGTCCTTTAGAGTCACTTGAAGGCCCCATGTGTCTTCAACCCGGAAAAAAAAAACGAGGTTTGCAGCTTTGGACTCTTGAGTCTGCGTATGTCTGTGCAAAACGAGCCCCACAGTTCCACTGTTCTGCACACATATGGCAGAGTCTGCTTCAAGGCAGCTTTCCTCACTGCATGTACCTTCACCGCCAAGAGGCTCCCAACCTCAGCAAAACAAGGCTGCAGCCGAGCGCAGCCAGAGACAGGACAACGTCCAGGCCTCGCAGAAGCTGCAGAAGCCCCGGAGAACAAGTCTCCATACGCCCTTGTGTGTCAGACGGCTGCAACCTAAATCTCTGCAGCCTGAATGCTACCCGGTCCGTCCTCCACGGTAAGGTCCCTTGTTGGACTTCCTTAGACTACCTCGTCCTTGAGGTAGCTCAATGACTAGGCTCAACCTCGAAGCCTCGTAAACCCCTCCCCTCGAAAGCCCTCAAAGCCCTAAACCCCCAAATCCTAAACCCTAAACCCCAAACCCTAAACCCTAAACCCTCAACCCTCAACCCTCAACCCTCAACCCTCAACCCTCAACCCTCAACCCTCAACCCTAACCCTAAACCCTACACGCTAAACCCTAAACCCTGTCCGAGGAAGGATGCGGCCGGCGCCTCCGTGGCTCTCTTGCGCTGATGGCGTCGGCTCCGCCTCTGGCGGACTGAGGCCCTCCTGGAAGACAGGAGCCTTAAAGTTTTCAGGTTTTAGGGATTTCTTAAATTTTAGGGTTTTAGGTTTGTTTTAGGTTTTAGGGTTTTAAGGTTTGTAGGGTTTTAAGGTTTTTAGGGTTTTACGGATTTAGGGTTTTAAGGTTTCAGGGTTTTAAGGTTTTAGGGTTTTAAGGTTTTAGGGTTTTAAGGTTTTAGGACTTTTGGGGTTGAGGCTTCCGGGTCGGGTTTCGGGTTTAGGGCTTTGGGTCTTGGGTTCAAGGCGACGGGCATAGGGCTTGGGTTGAGGGTTCAGGTTTAAGCCCGGTGCAAAATCCGGTCCTGTAGCCAGGGTAGGAGCCTCTGCTTCATTCGCTTCGGATTCAAGCTGACTTGGCGGATCTGCCGCCCATCCTGGCAGACGTTTGGGTTTAGGGTTTAGGGTTTAGGGCTTAGGGCTTATGGTTTAGGGTTGGGCTTAGGGTTGAGGGATTTCCAACTGCCTGGGGCCTGCTGCCTTACTCGGCCGAGCACGCCCGCATTCGTAGCGATCGCTTTTGGAGCTTAGCTTGCCCCTTTTCCTGGTGTTCCTTTTCCAGTTCAGGACAGCCCACTCCTCACTTGTTCGGCTTAGGGCTACCCTCCTCTCCACTCTCCATGCAAGGCATTTAGCTGCAGAGCCTGTGGTTCAGCTGCCCGACCTCTTAACGGGGCGTGTACCCAACAACCATGATTTCCTTCCAGAACCATGGATCAGGTTTCTGAACCCACCACAAAGGACTGCTAAAACAGGCGGAGCTCTCGTGCCCCGATGTTTTCAGGGCTGGCACGGCTTGAAGCAGGGCCGGATGAAGAAAGAGCTTTTGAAACCGGTTCGAATCGTCAACACTGCCCTTAAACCCTCAGCTTGACCCTAAAAACTCGACCCCAATACGTCCCGCACCCTGAGAGCAGACATCGTCCTTGTACTGGGCGATAGTTGGATACATCTTCACCTGCTCCGTGTTGCAAAGTACCTGCACAGTCTGATGCTTGGCCCCGGCCAGTGAGGGCCCACATGCGCTGTGACGATAATTCTGGGGCAGAAAAACCTTGAACAGATGGGCCTTCTCCGTCGCGCAATCAACGATTGCAAAACGGACCTCGCACAAAAACACGCTGAATCGAACGCCACACGTCGTAGGGGATGGGAGGTGTCAGGTGCGGGGGGGCCATGAGGGCCAGGTCACAGCAGCTGTGAAATGCCCGGTGTTGAGCTTTTTCTGCCATTCCGCAGCTTGCCTTACACCACGGCCATTGCGCAAGGTCTGATCGCCACAATGAAACTTGCCACTCCCCCTAAACCCTAAACCCTAAACCCTAAACCCTAAACCCTAAACCCCAAACCCTAAACCCTAAACCCTCGGTTGATCTGAGGTGCTCGGAGATGAGGAGCTCGAGATGATGGCAAGGCTCCCACCAGGAGGGGCAGAAAGCCACAATCCACTGCTCGGCACCACCTCAGTGGGTGATAGCTGCTTCTGGGTCTCAGAAACATTCCCGAAAGCCAATCACGTGCATCATAATTCTTGTATTACAGATATCACGAGCTCTCTCCAAGGCTTAACCCTCAGCATCCCTCAACAACAGCCTCCATCAGCTGTCCCCGCAGTGCCCTGGAAGAGGATGCTGTTCAGCTGAGCCAGTTGCCTGCAAGTACCAGTGAGCGCGGCCCGATGCAAACAGAAGCACTGCAAGAAAATGGAACCTCATAAACAAATAACAATAATAATAATGATGATGATGATGATAACAATAGTAATAGTAAATAATAGTAAAAGTAGTAATAACAATAGTAACACAAGCCACCCGAACATTTCATGCAGTCTTGTCTGGCGCATCCAAAGAAAGACAAGTGAATGCAAGGAGTTCATCTGCAAGCTGCGGGGAGGACGGCCAGCTGATAGTGATAAGTGATATTTCATACAATGTGCGTGAGGTAAGCTGTTGTGAAACCCAACATCTTCTATGCCAAGCAAGGACCTGGGCTACTCCGCAGGCCTTCCCATGTAGTGCTCACTGAAGCCTGTCAATTCCTCCGGTGATGTCCAGCTGTCACCGATCACCGGCGCCTTTCAAAATTCTGCGCATCATGCGGGGCCACCCACTATCATGTGGAGTGAAACTGTGCGCCATTTTGCCAGTGTCTTCGCCTCTCTGGCTGTGGCAACCGCGAGGCAAGCGAAGGAGAAGATCCAGGATGTCATGGCGAGTTCTGAGACGGTACGAGAACACGAAGCGAAGAGAGCGTAGAGGCCTCTCCGATGCTACAATTGGGGGGCAGACCGCTGAAAGAAGCTGCGCAGCAACCACGGCAACAACAATCGTTATTAACAATAGCAGCAGCATGAGAAGCAACAAGAGATCCGGTACTGTTGTCATGTAATGGTAGTCATCGGCACTATGTGCCGTCAATAACCGTCATTAGCAATAGCCATAGCAGTGTATACACTGCAATCGTAGCAGCACTCGTACTCGCAACAGTAAGTTAGAGATAGCCGTAGCCACAGCATGATAGTCATAGTCATCGTCAGAACCACAAGCATACCAACCTGGACAGTAATAGCAATAGAAACAGCAATGGCGATACGACAGGTCATGGTACTGGTACAAGGTACATGGTCATACAATGAAAATGGTTCTCGTCATAGTTATACATCATCATCGCCATCATCGTCGTTATCGTCATCATCATCGTCGTCGTCGCCAACCTCATCATCATCATGATTCCGATTGTGATTGCATTGCACGCCACAAGCACTCGGCAACATGCATCTCCTCCTCTAATCTCCATATGCAACGAAGACGGGGGAGGGGGAGGGCGGGGGGGGCACCACAATGCCAAAGGCAATGATCATCGCCTGGCCGCACAGAGATGGAGAATCATGGAGCTAGCACGGAAGATTTTTCCAGGAACTTCCCTGTTGCACAAGCACGCCGTGGAAGCCAAAGATGTAGCCTCGGATAGGCGTATCTGAGGGCTTTTCGTGCTGTGACCCATGCAAGAAGCACGGAATTTCTGGCCAAAGAGCCCACTTCAGCACGTGGCCGAACGTCCAACCAACGGCTTTTCCGAGTACCTTGAAGCTGCCAGCTTGGTCCGCAGGACTTGGGGCTTTGGGGCTTTGGGGCTTTGGGGCTTTGGGGGATCGAAAAGCAGCACAGGCCTCAAAGCACATGCCGAGCCCCCACTGGGGCCATGGCGGCTAGATACTGCGGGAAGGTCCAGTCTGGCAGCCACTGGATTACCTTGACTTCGGTGCCGAGCTAAGCAGTCATCGAAGCGATGGCGAACAGCAGCAAGACAACGGCGCTTTCATGCATAGCATCAGCGCGCATCCAGACTGGGTGGCGTACCAGGTACATGAGCAAGACATTGAAGCAGGTCATGAAGGTGTAGAAGTGCTGCCAGGGCCCCATCTTTCACTACACATGGACCGTGTTGCCAGAGATCGAGCGGTCAAGTGCTGTCGCACGTTTCTCATATTCCAAGTCGCGACCCTCAGGGACGATGCACTTGGAGGAACTTTGCCCTTTGTCATTCAGAGGGGTGGCCTGCAATGAGAAGACTCCAAAAAGGGACTAAAGACAGGCTTGTGCCAAGTATATGCTATGCACCACAGAGCACCACAGTGGGAGGCGCGCCCTCACACTGGATTCCAGCAAACTAAGCAGGACCCCGGGTCTCCTTGCCTGCGGAAGCACAAGTCCTTGAATTGCGGGTGCCGCTCAGCTGGAGAGGAATTTCGAACTTTGCAACTAGGGAGGGTTTAAAAATGGCCTGTGTGCCAGGGCCTTTGGGCCTTTCTGCCACTGCCTCACTTCGACCTTGCCTTTGACTTGTCAGTCTGCGCAGGCTTGAACACATACTGGATCAGCGAATCTCTGATGGGCAGCATGCCGGGAAACTCTTTCCACATCTTGTGCGGGCTCAGCTCGTTGTTGGACCTCGCGGCGGTGATGACCTTTGCCTGCTCCTCGACGGTGAAGTTTCCCCACTTGAAGTCTGGGTCGATGTACTCCTCACACTCATAGCAGCTAATAGCAATCACTGAATCACCTTCGGGAATCCTCATAATATCCTTCCCCGCATAGCCCCCTTCTTTTTCAAACCAGTACAGAAAAAAAGAGGGAACCTACTGTGCTGAACCGTGGGAGTCCTTGTACAGCTCCAGGACTTGATTGTGGCTGATGGCCCCAGGGTTGCAGAAGTTGTAGATCCCTGTGAGTCGTCTCAGGGCCATCTCCACCGCATAAGGCAGCAGCTCAGGAAGGACCGTCATGCTGTTGGGGATGTTCACCACCTTGTTGTAGTGGGCAATCTTGTAGATGAAGTTCCGCTTGTTTGTGAGGATGTCTCCATCGATGGGCATGCGAACTCGCAGGGTAAGCACATGGTCAAAATTGCGAAGCATGTTCTCCACGTAGCCTTTTGTCTCAGAGTAGAAGGAGCCAGTAAAGTTGGGCCGGTCCTCTTCGCTGAAAGTCAAGGATGCTTCTTTCGCGACGAGAGAGGCATCTCGCTCGATCTTTTCCGGCTTCTTCTCGTCATAGTGGAAGATGCATCCGGTAGCGAAGTTGGTCATGTGAATGCCGTGCGTGGCACAGAGGTCAGCAAGCGTCAAGGTTCCAATGACGTTGACGCGAATGGTCTCCTGTCGGTGCGTCTCACACCAGTCGACATTGGGACGGCCAGTCAAGCCAGCCGCATTCATCACGTGGGTGCAGCCGCTATGAAGAAGCTCACGCTCTACGCTCTCCCGATCCTGCAAACGAGAGGTTGCCCACTCCCAGGAAAAGCCCTTCTGGGTCAGCATATCGCCAATCATGCCACCAATCCAACCGGTCCTCCCGAACACAAGGAACTTCACCTTCTTCGCCTTCTTGGCTGCAGGCTCGCCATCCGTGTCCCTTGCGGCAGCCTGAGCCGGAACCTCGAGCCTCGGAATTGGCACAGGGTGCGCCACCAAGACAGAGTCCATGTCACAGTCGGACCAGAAAGCACTGCCATGGACGGTGAACCAGTCCACGGTCTGCTTAAGGCCTTCATCAAACTTCACGGTTTCCTTCCATCCCAGCTGCTCCAGCTGCTTAAGGTCAAGGAAGTAGCGCATGTCGTTGAAAGGCCGATTGCGGACATGCTCGATCATCTTCTCGGGATCAATATCCGGCTTCATCAGCTTGATGATCTGCTTTACGATGTCAATGACCGAATGCTCCTCGGCTGTGCCAATGTTGTAGGTGCTGCCTGTGACTCCCTTGTGCAAGACGATGTCAAATGCTGCGGCCACATCCTTGACGTGCAGGTAGGAGCGCTTGCTCAAGCCGTCTCCGTGTACCGTGAGCTTCTTGTTCCTCTTCAACATCATGATCATCTTGGGGATCAGCTTCTCCGGGTACTGGCGTGGGCCGTAGACGTTATTGCCACGAGTGACGAGGACCGGCAGCCCATAGGATCGATGGTAGCTTTTCACCATCATCTCCGCGGCGGCCTTGGAGGCTGCGTAAGGGTTCGTAGGGTCCAAAGGGGAGGTGGCCTCAACCTTCATGTCCCCTGCATCGTGGTAGCTGGCATTCTCGCCATAGACCTCGTCGGTACTGACATGGATGTACCGCTTCACTTGGTGCTTGAGCTCCTTCAGGACCTCCAAAATTCTGTGTGTGCCCAGGACGTTGTCATCCGTGAAGGTCACAGAGTTGCCGAAGGAGAGGTCAACGTGCGTCTGTGCCGCGAAGTGCATCACCGTGTCGATTTCCTCCTGCTCGATGATGTAGTGCAGCAGATCTGGACTTTTGATGTCTCCCTTCACAAACCTTACTGGCTCCAAGCAGGGTAGTTACAAACTTCGGGTTCCTGTAGGGGACTATATAGGATACTCAGTTCCCGAACTCCCTGATAATCAAGAACCGGTCAGAGAAACTTGAAGTTGGGCTTGCCCTGCATTGACTCGAAGTTCTTCGTGTTCGAGCAGTAGTCCAAGCGATCCAAGATCACAATCTTGTACTTGGGATACGTAAAGAATAGGTGCTCCGCGACGTGGCTTGCGATGAAACCCGCGCCGCCTGTGACGAGGATGTTCCGAGGCTCGTAAACCACCTTCGCCATGCCAAAATGCTGGTTTTTTTCGCTATCAACTGTCACTGTGCCCAGCTGTGCAGGCTTGAACCTAATAGCTCATTACGGCTAAATCATGGCTCAGACATGCTCACCGATCTGTACATTCGTGTGCAAAACAGCTGCGAGCTGCATGGATGGTCACAGAAGGCGGCGCACCGGCAATCGTTGTGACATCCTGCTTGCGCGGCCAGGCATCCGAGTCTACAGCCTACAGTCGTACAGCTTGCATGAACACGAGAATCTCTAACAGCTCCCAGTCCAGGCTGCCATTCTCCGCGCACCCGGTGAGGACATGCCGGCGCAGTAGCACTTGGCGCAGCAGACAAGTTTGGTCTACCGATTTGCACATCGACACCATCCTCTAGACTCTAAACACTTCGGTGGAGTGCGTACGGCCGCATGGCCACGGGGGCCCCCGACTGGAAGGCAGAAGAGCCAGGCGCAAGTGAGGGTGGTGAAAATCAGGATCCACCTTATTTGCATCGGAGCCAGACTCGGTTGCAAGTGACTTCTTTTGGAGCCCGTCGTTCACCGGGAGGTCACCAAGGTCGGGGCCCCTGGTACTCTGCATCGACGTCCAACCTACAAAATCGCATCAGGACCAGGACTAGCAGGCAGTGCTGCTGTGGTTTTGTGCTGCTCTTGTTCGTTCCCGTCCTGAAGGACAGGGTGACCCCCCCTCTCCAGACAAAGAACCCCCCCACACCACCACCAGCCCCCACCCAACCACCCCCCACGCCACCACCCCCACCACCCCACCCCCACCACCCCCACAAGCTCAGTGGAAAGTAACGTTTATACGAATCCTATATATTTTAAAAAGAGATCTTGTTCTGGTTTCTCAACGTATCACCAAACGGAATCCTCTTCAAATTTATAGGAATCCAATTTAGCTAAGTAAGCATTCTCAAGAATCGCACGTATTAACACGAACACGAATCCTCTTGAATTAGGTCGGGTTTAGGGGGGGGGAGGAGAGGGGGGGGAGGAGAGGGGAGGGTGGTAGGGGCACCTAAACCCTTTCGTTTTCACATTTTTAACATGATTCCTCGACATTCTTACGAAGTTAGTATTGTATGAAGTGCAATAAGATTCCGATTGCTTTCAATAGGGTTCTTGTTGCTTTTAACACTTTTAATCGGATTCTCAATAGGATGCTCAATATTTTAAGACTCGTATTAGGATTCCTAATAATTGCAACGATGAAAATTAGGAGTACTAAGATTTCAAGTAGAATCCGCCGAGGCCTCGGGCCGAAGGTGTATTGGTAGTCAGAACAGGCACCCCCCTCCAAATCCTCCCTCCAGGCCCAAAGCCCTTTTTCGGACCCCTTTTTTTGCCTCAAATGGGTACCCCCCCTAGGTGAGCAGGGTCCGCAAGCGGATGGTTCGCCAGGACCAGAGGCAGTTGCAGCCCTTCCCAGCAGGGCCCCCCCCTTTTTCACTGCCCCCACCCTTCCCCCCCACCCCCCCCCCCCACCCCCCCCCCCCTACCCCCCCTACCCCCCCCCCCCTACCCCCCCCCCCTCCCCCCCCCCCCCCCACCACCCCCCCCCCCTCCCCTGCCCGACCCCCCACCCCCCCCCCCCCCACCCCCCCCCCTGCCCCCCACATAGTCCCTCCCCCAAAAGCCACATGAGTGGCTGGGCTAATGGACGCAACAAGAGGGGCTTGATGTTTGTAGGTGTCGCTATAGCACACCCAATGGTTCATAACCTAGGGGTGTCGCTTTTCAAGTGTTCCCATCGTTTTACAGGGTTTTCCCCTTGCTTAATTGAATGGCTGGGGGTTTTGGCGCTTGCTCACATAAGGTGTTTGTGAAAGGCTGCTCCGACGCGCTGGCTTGAGGGCCGGAGGCTCACTGGTGTGAGCACGGCCGCAAATCCGCCGAGGCCTCGCCCCCTTTCCCCCCCCCACCCCCCCCCACCCCCACCTCGCCCCCCGGTTTTCGAGGCTCAACTCCGGGGACGAAGAGTAACCGAAACCCGAAACCTTCAATCTTAGCTCCCCCCCCCCTTTCCCCTCTGCCCCCCTTCCCCCTCCACCCCTACCCCCCCTGAGGGGCCTGGCTCAACCCTCCGATCAATCCAAGCCGAACCGTCTCTTGAACCCTAAACCCAAAGCCCTCTATCCTAAACTAACCCTCAACCCTAAACCCCAGACCATAAACCATAAACCCGGAACCCTAAACCCGACTTGGGCGCTGCGGAATCACCATGCTCACGCGGATGCGCTGGGCCGGGCCGAGGCGGGTCGCGTAGCGTTAAAATTAATTGGAATTCCATTAAGGCTCGTTGGAAATGAAGAAAATTGTTCGGAGTCTTTTTAACAGGAATACGACATCTATTTGTAATTAGAGAATCTTACTAAGATGATTTTGAGTCCTATTGAAGTCGATAAGAATCTTAGTAAAATTCGTACGAATCCAATTTCGCTGAATATGAATTTCAAACAATCTTATTAAACAAACGCGAATCCCTTTACATTAAGGTTTACGGTTTAGGGGGACGGGCGGGGCCACCCCTCACAAGTTGCAGGGCCAGAACACACAGAGCTATCGATGAATGCGGGTCACCCGGAAGTGCGCTGAATTTGTCCGGGCTTGTCCAGCAGGATTCCAGCGATACGGTCCGCCGGAATTGTTCTAAAGTTTTCCGGGCCCCAATTAAACCGCGGAGCCTCCCTTTTCTGATTTCTCTGTGGCGGGGCCACGCAAATCAACTTTCTAAGGGGGGAATCCACCAGCTTCCGCAAAACCGCAGATAAGGAAGCCTAAGGAAGCCTAAGGAAGCCTAAGGAAGCCTAAGGAAGCCTAAGGAAGCCTAAGGAAGCCTAAGGAAGCCTAAGGAAGCCTAAGGAAACCTAAGGAAGCCTAAGGAAGCCTAAGGAAGCCCAAAGAAGCCTAAGGAAGCCTAAGGAAGCCTAAGGAAGCCTACGGAAGCCTTGCCTTGGACTGAGGTGCCAGGATGCCCTCACCTCTGAACTTCGAACCCGACATTGAGCCCTGTTCAGGGTATCTGGTCGTTGGTGGGGGGGGGTGGGGGGTGGTCACTCTATTCTGGGACCATGCACCCAAGGCAACGTGCCTGTAGTCCAACACCTGGTGCGCATTCTTCTGGATCTGCTCCAGCGGTGCTCCGGTGGTGCCCTCCATTGCTTTAGGGGACGGCGGGGACCTTGCCCCGGGGGAGTCGCCGAAGCACTCCGATGAAGGATCTGCTGTGCTGAGGTGCTTGATCTTGTGTGTTGTTGAAGGGTCTGAAGGCCTGAAGGCTGGCGAAGGTGCTCAGGGCTCATTCCGCCTCAAAAATGCTTGTAGGATTCCAAAACCTAAACCCCGAAATGTTCCTCGGATGATGTCTTGCCAGCGAGAACCTCGAGCTGGCAGCTAGGGTGCTGCAAGTGGCGGAGCAATCAGCAGCAGTCTGGCTCTTGATGCGACAGGGCACGCAGTGAACTTCTGGCTCTACCACACAACTCACCTTCACTCAGCAGCTTTTGTCACTGCACATTCAGGCACTCGTCAGAGACCGGCACCGATCCGGCGCTGTCCTGCACAAAGACACACTCCTACTTCGATGTAGTCCCAGTTGTTTGGGTCCCTGTATGGATACCTATTGCAGTCGTTTACAAGAAGCAGAACGGACCTGAGAAGCTGGGGCCTAGTCTAACACAACCCCCCAAAAGGACCGAAGCTGTCCGGTAGACAAGGCTGCCGCCCAGCCAGCGACGCGAAGCACGAGCGGGTCGTCCTGGAATGGGGGAAAGGGGATCAGCTCCCGAAGTCTCTAACTGCAGTCTTTAGTTTCGAGAACTGACCCATGGGCCCTAAGCCCTAAGCCTGTCACATGGTGCACTGGGCACTTTCAGCACTCCACTCTGGTACCTGCAAGCCTTGAACCCAAAACCCCCAAACCCTAAACCCTAAACCCTAAACCCGAGAAGTCATAGCAGTCCTCCACTTGGAAGCCCAACGGGCACCTGATCTCCAGAGCTCGTGACCGGCTGCGACATGTCTGACCCACCGTGTCCACCTACCCTGAACAGTTCAACCAGAACACCAAACCAGCCCTAAACGTTCAACTGCTTTAGCACGAAAACCCCTAAACCCGAAACCCCAAACCCCAAACCCCCAAACCCTAAACCCTAAACCCGAAACCCCAACCCCAGAACAATCTCAAAAAACCTTCCGAGGCACGTGGCGCCACGAGCTTTCAGCTTGGCCACCTCGGGAGTTGCGGAGGAGTATAAAGCCAGGTACCTTATAGCTATATATGTATGTATGTATGTATATATCCGCCGACCCCTAGGGGGGCGGCGTCAGTGAAGACCCATTGCCCCTACCACCTACTCCACCCCATCCAAAGCTCGACCGGCCCCCAGTGCATGCCCGCCCGCTTGCCCTACCCCCACCACCCACGCACCCCCCGCTCCTTCCCTTGCCCAAGCCCCCCAAGCGCCCCGCCATGCTTCTCATGGACCCATGGCTCCTCCCAGTGCATGCCCGCCCGCTTGCCCTACCCCCACCACCCACGCACCCCGCCCCCCGCCCATCCGCCCTTCCCGCTCCGCATACTCCTTCCCTTGCCCAAGCCCCCCACGCACCCCGCCATGCTTCTCATGGACCCATGGCTCCTGGTCCTTCATCCCAAGCTCGACCGGCCCCCAGTGCATGGCCGCCCGCTTGCCCTACCCCCACCACCCACGCACCCCGCCCCCCGTCCATCCGCCCTTCCCGCTCCGCATACTCCCCCCCTTGCCCAAGCCCCCCACGCACCCCGCCATGCTTCTCATGGACCCATGGCTCCTGGTCCCATTCTTCATCCCTCCTATTTATGGTCCCTGCTCCACCCCCAACCCCCACCCCCACCCTGCCCCGCCGCCCATGCTTGTCATGGACCCATGCTTCATGGCTCCACCCCCCCCCACCCCACCCCCCACCCCCACCCCCACCCCCAACCCCTTTCCACACTTCCAGCTGGCTCCACCCCCACCCCCAACCCCCACCCCCACCCCCAACCGCCCCCACCCCCACCCCCCACGCACCCCGCCCCCCACTGGACCCATGGCTCCTGGCCCCATTGCCTCATGGTCCACGGTGCATGGATGTGGCTTTCCCCCTTCCAGCTCCGCCTGCTCCCCCCTTGGCCCATGCTCCCACTCTCCATCCCCTCGACCTCCCCCGCTTGGCCCGCTTGCTCTACCCCCACCACCCACGCACCACCGTTCCCCGCCCATCCGCCCTTCCCGCTCTCCCCCGCCATGCTTCTCATGGATGCATGGCTCCTGCTCCCATTCTTTATCCCTCGACCTGCCTGGCTGCCAATGCTGGTCCTAGCATACTCCCCCCTTGCCCAAGCCCCCCACGCACCCCGCCATGCTTCTCATGGACCCATGGCTCCTGGTCCCATTCTTCATCCCTCGACCTGCATGGCTGCCAATCACCCCCAACCCCCACCCCCACCCCGCACGCACCCTGCCACCCCCAACCCCCAACCCCCACCCCCACCCCCACACACCCACGCACCCCACCCCCCACTGGACCCATGGCTCCTGGCCCCATTGGCTCATGGTCCACGGCCCATGGATGTGGCTTCTCAGCTGACTTTAGAGGCCCCAGTGCATGCCCGCCCTCCGCCCGCTCCGCCCGCTCCGCCCTCCGCCCTTCCAGCTCCGCCTACTCCCCTTTGGCCCATGCTCCCACTCTCCATCCCCTTGACCCCTCGTGGACCCAGCTCCCTACCCCTTACCCCTCACGCACCCTGCCCCGCCGCCCATGCCCCTCATGGACCCATGGCTCCTGGCCCCATGGCTCCCCTCCGCCCCTACCCCCACCACCCACGCACCCTCTCCCCGCTTCCCGCTCCGCATACATTCCCCTTGCCCAAGCCCCCCACGCACCCCGCCATGCTTTTCATGGACCCATGGCTCCTGGCCCCATTCTTCATCCCTTGAGCTGCTCCACCCCCACCCGCAACCCCCACCCCCACCCCGCACGCACCCTGCCCCGCCGCCCGTGCTTGTCATGGGCCCCTTGCTCCTGGCGTCATGGCTTCCAACCCCCACCCCCACCCCCCACGCACCTCCACTGGACCCATGGCTCCTGGCCCCATTGGCTCCTGGTCCCATTCTTCATCCCTCGACCTGCATCCAATGCTCTCCACCCCAACCCCCAACCCCCAACCCCCACCCCCACCCCGTACGCCACCCCCAACCCCCAACCCCACCCACCACCCACCCACACTTCCACCCCCCACCCCCACCCCCCACGCACCCCGACCCCCACTGAACCCATGGCTCCTGGCCCCATTGGCTCATGGTCCATGGCCCGTGGATGTGGCTTCTCAGCTGACTTTAAAGGGCCCAGTGCCTGCCCGGACCCTCCGCCCGCTCCCCCCGCTCCGCCCTCCACCCTTCCACCAATGCTCCCACTCTCCATCCCCTTGACCTACCCCTCATGGAACCCCTTACCCCTCACGCACCCACGCCCCTCATGACCGTGGCTTCTCCGCCCCTACCCCCACCACCTCTACCCTTCCCGCTCCGCATACTCCCTCCCTTGCCCCACGCACCGCCATGCTTCTCATGGACCCATGGCTGCTGGTCCCATTCTTCATCCCTCCTTTTTCTGGCCCCTGCTCCACCCCCACCCCCAACCCCCACCCCCCCCATGCTTGTCATGGACCCATGGCTCCTGGCCCCATGGCTCCACCCCCCCCCCCCCCCCCCACCCCCCCCACCCCCAACCACCCCCAACCCCCACCCCCACCCCCCAACTGCCCCCACCCCCACCCCCCACGCACCCCGCCCCCCACTGGACCCATGGTCAGCTGACTTTAAAGGGCCCCAGCGCATGCCCCCCCCTCCGCCCGCTGCCCGCTCCGCCCTCCACCTCCGCCTACTGCCCCCTTGGCCCATGCTCCCACTCTCCATCCCCTCGACCTCCCCCGCTTGGCCCGCTTGCTCGACCCCCACCGTCCACGTACCACCGTTCCCCGCCCATCCGCCTCCCACTCTGACGGGCCCATACTGTCTCTGCAGGCTACCGCCCACGACGCCCTGACTGGGAAGGCCCTTGGCAATAATCCCTCACACCCACCTGATTGCATGGGTGAGACCACTGGACTGTGTTACCTGCCATGCTTCTCATGGACCCATGGCTCCTGGTCCCATTCTTTATCCCTCGACCTGCATGGCTGCCAATCTACCCCCACCACCCACGCACCACCATCCGCCCTTCCCGCTCTCCCCTTGCCCAAACCCAACATGCACCGCGCCATGCTTCTGATGGACCCATGGCTGATGGTCCCATTCTTTATCCCTCGACCTGCATGCTTCTCATGGACACATGGCTCCTGGTCCCATTCTTCATCCCTCGACCCGCATGGCTGCGAATGCTGGTCAAAAAAATGGCCCCTGCTCCACCCCCACCCCCAACCCCCACCCCCACCCCGCACGCACCCTGCCACCCCCAACCCCCAACCCCCACCCCCACCCCCACGCACCCACACTTCCAACCCCCACCCCCACCCCCCCACGCACCCCTGGACCCATGGCTCCTGGCCCCATTGGCTCATGGTCCACGGCCCATGGATGTGGCTTCTCAGCTGACTGTAAAGGCCCAATTCATGCCCGACCCTCCGCCCGCCCTCCGCCCTTCCAGCTCCGCCTACTCCCCTTTGGCCCATGCTCCCACTCTCCATCCCCTTGACCTACCCCTCATGGACCCAGCTCCCTTAACCCCTCACGGACCCTGCATGCCCCTCATGGACGCATGGCTCCTGGCCCCATGGCTCCCCTCCGCCCCTACCCCCACCACCCACGCACCCGCTCCCCGCCCATCCGCCCTTCCCGCTCCGCATACATTCCCCTTGCCCAAGCCCCCACGCACCCCGCCATGCTTTTCATGGACCCATGCCTCCTGGTCCCATTCTTCATCCCTTGAGCTGCTCCACCCCCACCCGCAACCCCCACCCCCACCCCGCACGCACCCTGCCCCGCCGCCCGCGCTTGTCATGGACCCCTTGCTCTTGGCGTCATGGCTCCACCCCCACCCCCAACCCCCACACACCCCACCCTTTCCACACTTCCAACCCCCACCCCCACCCCCCACGCCCCACTGGACCCATGGCTCCTGGCCCCATTGGCTCCTGG